TTTTTTTTTGAATTCCCAACTTGTTTATTCATTTAAGGGAGTTTTTCCTATAACAACTCAGGATAAAAATATCTCTATTATATTTTAATAAATCAAAACTAAAAGTCATTTTCATAATAAACAAATTCGATCAAATGTATTAAACAGTCACTTAAAATACATGTAAATATGACACATGTCACATATTTTCATTAGAAAATATTGTACTTTTATCAAATCGAAAGTGTAACTAATAAATTGCACAAAAAAAAGTGTAACTAATATTCACAAATTAATTTTATAAAAAAAGTGAAATTAGAATTTATAATGTTTTGCTATCATTTCTTATATTTTGCAAGCGTTGGAATCTATAATTATTGAAAGAGGGAGGTAATTATTTCATTTAAGGAAAGTTTTAAAAAAATGTTTTCACCTTCCATTTGTGGAAAGTATTTGAAATGACCGAAAATAATTATCTTATCACTATAAAGACACTCAACGAAATTGAGATAAAAGTTGGCCAGATTAGAGCACCGAAAATAATCATCCTATTTTCACGCCCATTTCGTTTTTCATTTTAAATGACCAAAAATAATTATCTTATCACTGTAAAGCGTAAAACACTCAACAAAATTGAGATAAAAGTTGGCCAGATTAGATCACCGAAAATAATCATCCTCTTTTCACGCCCATTTTATTTTTCATTTTATTTAAATCCTTAATTTCATTCCTTTATCATCTTAACAACTTTTCGTTAAATCCGAAACTAAATCTATTCCCTTATCTCTACGCAAGTTTAAAAAAAACTCTATATAAAATGCACACACTAAGGTCATTTTTTCTTCACCTCTTCAACACGCAGTGTAGGAAAACAAAATTTACAAAATACAAAAATTATTCTATGGCACTCTTTAGGGGTACATTGGACTCCGTGAGTCGATCCAACAAACCGTTTTTGAAGTTGAGAGTAGTCCAACTGCATGAAACACATGACGATCCGAATCATCCAAACGCTTTTCATATCCCGTTCCATGATGAAGGGGTAATTATTTTCAATTACTTTATCATTAACATTATTACATGAATATCTAATATCAAACTTCAACTGATTTTTCATTTTTTTTTTGTTATTTATTATTTCAAATATGTAGGGTTCATACATGAAAGGAAATACGTTCGCAGCATATGATCGTATTTCGAGATCACCTTAAACAAGGCGACGTTTATTTTATTCGCAACTAAGATGTTGAATATAATAGTGGGAGGAACAATATAATAATCCATCGTTGGAAGATTGTCCTTCATGATATTATGTGCACAGATCATTTACTAACCTTTTAACTGGGTCAGCATTTTATTATTTTTTACTGTAGCTAACTAATCATGTTTCATGCACATTGTTGTAGACACTTTGCTCAACTCAGAGGCAATAAATTCAACACACAAGGGATTTAACCAAAGGAGCAAAAAAGCCAATGAATTAAACATATTCCATGGTAAATTTCATCCTAATTTTTGTAGTATTAATTGCTTGACTACAATATGGTTATTTATTTATATTTTGGTTTAGTACTATATTTTTATGAATGTTAATGCTATTCTTATTTATCAATTTCTAATACCGTACCTGTTTGCAGACCATATTTCCATAACCAGCGTGTTGATTGATTCTGTGTTTATTCGTTTGATTGTTCCATCTCCATATATGGACATGCATTTGTACAAAAAAAAA